AAACTCCTGGGCTCAAGCAATCCTTCTGTCTCAGCCTCCTGAGTAGCTGGGACTATAGGCACGCGCCACCATGCCCGGCTAATTTCCTCTGTATGTTTTTAGTTGTCCAGCTAATTTCCTTCTATTTTTTTAGTAGAGACAGGGTCTTGCTCTTGCTCAGGCTGGTCTCAAACTCCTGAGCTCAAATGAGCCACCCACCTGGGCCTCCCAGAGTGCTAGAATTATAGGCGTGAGCCACTGCGCCCGCCCAAACTTCATTTTTTTTGAAAGCAGAGAGTTTTGAAATATTATAAAGTATTTTATGTCAGTTTTAATAAATCTTAATTATGTAAGCTAAGAAAGAAAACGTAAAACAGAATAAAACAGAACTCTGTATTTCTTTTATTTATGAATTTCAAAGTCTTGGGGCTGGGCACAGTGGCTCACGCCTGTAACCCTAGCACTCTGGGAGTCTGACGGGGGAGGATCGCTTGACGCCAGGAGTTTTAGGTTGCAGTGAGCTATGATGATGCCACTGCACTCTCACCCAGGTGACAAAGCAAGAGAATTTATGAACTGCAGGGCCTGAAATATTTATATTTACAAAAAAACCTTTGCCCTTTACAAGAAAATTTGCTGACCCAGCTCTAAAACAATAAAATGTGATAGTATACCTGTGGCAAATATCTGCAGTTAACAGATCTGCCATTTCCGTTGTTCTAACATGTAACTGCTTAATATCATAACTCTTTAGGGTGTTTATCAAACATGTGAGTGATGGAAAAATCTAGAATGCAGAAATCTAGTTAAATCTGCCAGGTTTAAGAATAAAAGGTAAAAATATCACAGAAATTTAAAATTTAAATGACTTAGTCTGTAATAAAGTATAGAATGGGGAGTGAGGGACCAGTTAAAAATTTTGATGACTACAAAGACAAAAAGTGCTTATTGCTCTTTATTAACATATCAGATGGGAGAATATCTGTTTACAAAAGCAGTTAGTATGAGCTATAACTACTATTGCAGAATACCCAACTGCCACACTGTTTATTCCTTTCATGTTCTGTTCATTTATATGTATTAAAAGGAAATAAATAATATAGCAATATATCTTACTAGCCATGGGACAACAGTATTATCTTGCTATCTGGAGTGACATATTACTTCTGAATTATATATTAATAAAATGCACACTCCCAAAGAAGGAAAAAATAGGTCACCTAAGGTGTTTCAATAAAAAGAGTCCTGCATTGGAGGATCTTGCACTGACACCAATTAACTGCATCATTTATTGTCTGTTCACTCATCGGTGAAATATAATACCGTCCCTATTTGTCTCATAAAGTTTTTAGAACAATAAAAAGAAATGATAAAAATGAAAGTGCTCTGCAAATGAAAAGTGCAATGCAGATGTATGGTATTACTATAGTGTGTGTGCACACATGCACATGTATATCTGATAGCTACAATCTTCTCTATACATCATGCACAGCCCTAAGCACTTACTATATTAATCATTTAATTCTCACAACAGCTCTTTGAAATAAGCATTGTTATCCCCATTGTACAGATGAAGAAACAGGCGAAGTTTAGTAACTTCTTACAGATGGACAGCAGTGAAACTGTAACATAAACTCAGTCTGGCTCCAGGGTATATGCCCTTAACTGCTATTTTATACTGTTAATATATAATTTTAATATGTAATAACACTTCATTTCACTAGACTACTAACCTGGTTGATTTTCCAATATTCTACAATCTGAGCTGCGCTGATATTCACCACTTAAATGCCAACTGAATTCCTGACTGAATGGGCAATAGTCAGCAATTTCTACTGAACCACCGTAATAAGGCAAATCTTCTGCAGGTATTCCACTGAGTTCATCAAAGTACTACAAAAAAAATTATTGGGAAGACGAGAGAGTAAGAAACATTCTGTATAATCAAAATAAAGTACACAGGCAACTTATAGCAACATTCTAATACTGTATAAGACAAGATATTAATTTACTTTTCTTTATAAACAGCACAGAGAATATAGTAATATACCACCTGAGGGGTATTTTGAGGTTGCTATAGTTTTAGAAATAAGCAGGATAAGTAAATTAGTCTAATTTATTAAAATGACAAATTTGACTAAAGTTTTAAAAGAATGAAATAGAATTATACTGAGCAAAAGGAAGTTTTAAGAGTTGACAAAACACAAACTAATGCATAGAATTAAGATATTTCCAACATGTACTTTTCAAGTATTTTTAGGAGACTTAATTTATATGTTGTTTTGACAACTTGAAAAAATAAAAATCTGAGAAACTGAACGAAATCATATATATAAAATACTCTGAACACCAAAGGAGCAAGGCACCAGATAAATTTAAAGATTTCACATTTTACATCAGCTTATTGTGTTTTATTACTATGCCTAGAAATACAGTTGCCATCTTATGGTGTCTCAAGCACTCAGCAGGGTCATAAATATATGTAGGAAGCTCATCATTTTAAATTAGCTTCTGAGACATCATTTCTGACTAAAGAATTCTTGTAAATGGCAGGTAAAGCTGAGGCTTTTTAGAGATAGCCATGGCAACAAGAAACTTAAAGGTCAAATTAGAGATTCAGGCTGGACATGTGGGACTATTTCCTTCATCTTTCAGATCCCATGAATCAAATCTTTTCTAAAGCAGAACTTCCCAGTCTTCTAATTAATTGGTTTAGAATACTTAAGTTATTTTCTTCAAAGAATTTTATTTTCTGTGTAAATTAGAGGAATTTAAAGACGA